GGGAGGGGAAAAAAAAAAAGCCTCATGGGGCAAATCTAAAACACTTTCATTTTAAATAACAATAATTATAATTAAAAAGCAGGGCAGCGCGGGGGCCGGGGCGCCGCTGCTCGGTGTGCGAGGGCACGGAGCGTCCCTGGGGGCCCCAGCGGCGCCGTCCTCGCCCGCGGAGCCGCCTAGATGAACTTGAAGCACTTGGTCTTGTCGTGGGGCAGGCGGGTCTTGAAGAGCACCGAGTCGACGCGGAACTGGGTGTAGAGCAGCGGCATGTAGCCGTACACCTTGACGAAGAAGTTGATGCACTTGTGGCGCTCGTGGAAGTGCGAGTCGTCGTGCGACAGCGCCTGCGGGCAGCCGGGGCAGCGGAACGTCCAGCGGGAGGTCACCTGCGGGAGAGGGACACGCGGTCACCGGCTGGGCAGGGAGGCAGCGAGGAGCCCGAGCGGCCATCCCCATCCCTCTGTGGGCTGTTGGAGGTGGCAGGAGCAACGAGCAGCTCTGGGCGCCCCGAGACCTTTGAGGGGGGCTCTGGGTTTCGGGCAGGCCCTGTGTTTAAAGGCCCTGCTTTTGGGTGTCGGTTGGGACGCTCCAGGGCAGGGCCCTTTGGTTCTGGCTTCCCACATGCAGCCCCGACCTCTAAAAACCTCCCACTCGGCTCCAGAGGGGCAGGAGGCTACGCAGAAAAGGCCCCTGACGGCCGAGACCCAACTCCGAGGCAGCTGCTGGGGGCGGCAAGATCCCAGGACGAGGAGCAGGAAGAGAGGATCCAGCCGCATCCTGAATTCGTCAATCCTAAATCCCAGAACTCTTCATTCGTCACGACGGGGCAGGGAAATGGCTCTAGCAGGGCCCAGGACCCCCCCGGCCTGGGCTGCAGGGGGACAAACCTCGGTTCCCCCGGGGTCCTCTGAACGTTTCCGGGGAAGCAGCGACTTGCTCCGCGCGACAGGAGCGCCCGCCCGCGGCCCCGTACCTTGATGGGCGGCTTCCTGGTGAGGTGGGACACGAGGAAGTTCATGGCGATGTCCTCGCAGTTGATGTACTCGTCCACCATGTCGCGGATGGCCTGGGGCATCACGTACGAGTACAGGTAGGCGTAGTACTGCAAGGCACGAAGAGGCACCGCGCGGCTCGAGGGCGCCCGGGCACGGCGCCGCGCCGCAGCGCCGC